TCCAGCCGCGCCAGGTGCGCCACGTCCGGGGCACGTGCAGAGTGTGCCAGGTGTGCCTGCGCACATGACAGCACACATCGGGAAACATGTCGGCCCCCACCATCCCTGTCGAAAACCAGTGCCCATCATGGTGTCTGGTGGGTCTGCGCACAGCAGCCCATACATCACCACCCCCGCCGTCCCCGACAAAAACCACTTGACAATGATCGCGGGGTGGCTGCGCCCTATCCACAATTAGCCGCGAGGTGCATATTGTATTGTGTGTTTGCCAGGGATGGTAGCCGTGCGCGCAACAGGCAGTATGTTGACACCCCCGCCGCCCCGATTGAAAAACCATGCGAAGTGCCCGCGGGCCTCACGAACATGATTCCAGACTTTCCCCCCAACTGTGTTGTGCATTGTTTTTGATAGGGATACTGGGGGGGGGGCCGCATCGGGTTGGTTGCGCATGCTCGGAATTTGGAGGCAAAATGCGTTTTGTATTTTTGGCAGGGATGGTGGGTGGGGGTGCCTTCATGGTGCGCGCATGTATCCAGGTTGGCTGCCAGCCAGGTGGGGGATGGGGGTGTTCATTAACGAGAGGCCCGCGTGCCAAAGATAATACAATCACGGATGTGGGACACAGGGATATGGACGTGGCGCCAACTTCTGGCAGTTTCGGGGAAGCGCGCGTGTTGCGACGCGCTGAGCTATGGCGTGAAGAACTGGTTGTGTCACTGTGAGCCCGTGGGGTCTCTATGACTCTTCGGGGCCATGGTGCTATTGGGCGTGTCTGGGGCCAAGTGGGGGTCTTGTGTAGGCCCGTCTGTTTTTTTTGTTTGTTTGTGGGCCGTTTTTTTTTTTTTTTTTGTTTTTTCCCCTTTTTGTTTCTCTCTTTTTTTGTGTGTTGTTTCTCTCTCTCTCTCTTCTCTCTCCTTCTTTGCCCATCGGGGGCCAGGGGCGCGGCCGGACCAGGGGGGGCACGGTCGGTCGGTCGGAATAAGCAGGCGGGCGGGCCACGGGGCGGAAGGGGCGGGACAGGGGAGCGGTTAGGGAGAGGGGAAAAGGGGCACGGTCGGTCGGCGGGCGCTACGGGGCGGAGGGGGGAAGCACGCTCGGTCGGTCGGTCGGAATACGCAGACGGGGGCTACGGGGCGGAGGGGATGGGCACGGTCGGTCGGTCGGAACAAGCAGACGGGGGCCACGGGGCGGAGGGGCGTCAGGGGGGGCAGGGGGGGCGGGAGGGCACGGTCGGGCAAGGGGGGGGCACGGTGGTCGGTCGGTCGGAATAAGCAGACGGGGGTCACGGGGCGGAGGGGGGGGCACGGTCGGTCGGTTGGTCAGAACGAGCAGACGGGGTCCACGGGGCGGAGGGGCGCAGGGGGGGGGGCAGGGGGACGGGAGTGCACGGTCGGGCAAGGGGGGGGCATTGTCGGTCGGTCGGTCGGTCGGAATAAGCAGACGGGGGCCTCGGGGTGGAGGGTGGGGGGCACGGTCGGTCGGTCGGTCGGTCGGAATGAGCAGACGGGGGCCACGGGGTGGAAAGGGGGGCACGGTCGGCCGGTAGGTCGGAATAAGCAGCCGGGGGCCGCCACGGGGCGGATGGGCGCGGGGCACGCGAGGGCGGCACGCACCCAGGCCACGCCCTAGCACGTGTCCCAACACAAGAAAGCCAACACATATCCCAGCACGTATCCCAGCACACGGAGGCAGAGTCCCAGCACGCATCCCAGCACGCATCCCAGTCCAGCGCGCATCCCAAACACGGTCTGTTGGTCGGTCGAAAATTATGCAGTGCGAGGTTACACTGGTAGGTATGATGATTAGGCAAAAGGGGTGCAATGGGGAAGGGACAGGAGAGGGGAAACGGGCGGAGGACACGGATAGGAGGGGGGCACGGTCGGTCTGAATAAGCCAAGGGGGGCACGGGACAGAGTGAGGGGAGGGGGCGCGGCCAGGAAAAGGAAGGTGAGGGGGGAGGAAACGGGGAGGGGAGTCGGGCGGAGGGCAGGGAGAGGACGGGGCACGGTCGGTCGGAATAGGCCAGAGGGGGCACGGGACGGGCAGAGGGGAAGGGGCACGATCGATTGGAATAGGCCAGTGGGGGGACACGGAGGACAGGGGGGCGGCGGCACGGTCGGTCGGAATAAGCCCGGGGGGGGCTCGCGGGGGGGAGGGCAAAAAACCCACGGGACGGGGGCAGGGCGCAGGACAGGGAAAGGGGAGGGGCACGGTCGGTCGGAATGATCCAGGGGGGGGCAAGAGGGGGAGGGGAATGGGGATGGGAGGGGGGTTGGAGGAGAGGGAGGGGACGGGGGCACGGTCGGTCGGAGTAAGCCAGGGCGGGGCGAGGGGGGAAGGGAAATGGGGAGGGGAGGGGGGGCGGAGGCCACGGAAGGGAGAGTGGGCACGGTCGGCCGGGATAAGCCAGGGAGGGGGGGGGGCACGGGACGGGCAGAGGGGAGGAGGCACGGTCTGTCGGAATAAGCCAGGGGGGGGGCATGGAGGACGTGGGGGCGGGGGCACGGTCGGTCCGAGTAAACCGGGGTGGGGGGGGAGCCGGGGGGGAAGGGCATGAGGGCCGCGGGACGAGGGCAGGGCACGGGACAGGGAGAGGGGAGGGGGCACGGTCGGTCGGAATGAGCCAGGGGGGAGAGGGGGAGGGAATGGGGATGGGAGGTGGAGGAGAGGGAGAGGAGGGGGGCACGGTCGGTCGGGCGGGGCACGGGACAGGCAGAGGGGAGGGGAGCGTTGTCGGTCGGAATAAGGAAAAAGGGGAACGATAGGGGGAGGGCAAGGCGGACGGCAGGGAGAGGAGGGGGGCACGGCCGGTCCGGACTAGGAAGAAGGGGGGGGGCACGGGACAGGCACAGGGGAGGGTGCACTCACGGCCGGTCGGAATAAACGAGGGGGGGCGCAGAGGACGGGGGGGCGGGGGCACGGTCGGTCGGAATCTCGTGGAGGGAGGCAACAAGGGCACGGGACGGGGAGAGGACACGGGACAGGGAGAGGGGAGGGGGCACAGACGGTCGGAGTAAGCAAGGGGGGGCGAGGGGGGAGGGAAATGGGGAGGGGGGGGGGGCGGAGGGCAGGGGGCGGAGGGGGGCACGGTCGGTCGGAATAAGGCAGGGGGGGGTGGCACGGGAGAGGCAGAGGGGAGGCGGCACGGTCGGTCGGAATAAGCGGTCGGCCGGAATAGGCCAGGGGGGGGCTCGTGGAGGGGAAGGGCAAGAGGGACGCGGGACTGGGACAGGGCACGGGACAAGGAGAGGGGAGGGGGCACGGTCGGTCCGAATAATAAGCCAGGGTGGGGCGAGGGGGAGGGCAATGGGGAGGGGAAAAGGCGGAGGACAGGGAGAGGAGGGGGGCACGGTCGGTCGGAATTGGGCAGGTTGAGGGGTGGGGTGGGGGGGGCACAGGACGGGGAGAGGGCACGGGACAGGGAGAGAGGAGGGGGCACGGTCGGTCGGAATGAGCCAGGGCGGGAGCGAGGGGAAACGGGGGGACGGGGGCACGGTCGGTCGGAATAAGCCAGGGGAGGCGAGGGGAAGGGAAATAGCGAGGGGAGGGGGGGCGGAGGGCAGGGAGAGGAAGGGGGCACGGTCGGTCGGGATAAGCCGGGGGGGGGCGCACGGGACGGGCAGAGGGGAGGAGGCACGGTCGGTCGAAATACGCCAGGAGGAGTCACGGAGGACAGGGGGGGCGGGGGCACGGTCGGTCGGAAGAAGCGGGGGGGGGGCTCGTGGGGGGAGGGCAAAAAAGGGCCCTGGACGGCAGCCTCTGACATATCGGCACGCGTACCACCACAGATGGTCGGAGCAGCGCGCAGAGAGCAGACATCCCAGCACGCAGGCCAGCAGAGGGAGAGAGGACACGCTCCGGCGTTCACAGCACGCAGTCCAGCAGACGGAGACAGGACACACCCTGGCGTTCACATTCAAGGACGCATGTCTTCGCTGATCCCAGGGCACGTCCAGCACATTCCAGGCACGCATTCCAGTCCAGCACATTCCAGGCAGTCATTCCAGCAGACGGAGACAGGACACGCCCCGGCGTTCACAGTCCAGGACACATCTCTTCGCACATCCCAGGGCACGTCCAGCACATTCCAGGCACGGTCGGTAGAAATAATGCAGTACGAGATCACACCGGCAGGTATGATAATAGGAAGCAGTGATAAACCCCTCCCCGAACGGGAAGAAGGGGTTTGGAAGAGGAAGCTCCCTAGACCACCTACGCCCTAAACGGCTGGTGGGAGTCGGGCGAGGAGGGCTTGATTCGGGAAATCCTGCTTGCAGCGGGGTCCCCAGGCGGTTTTTCCTGGTGCCATTCCTGCGTGAAGCCGATGGTTTCCAGGCCGTCCGCCCGGGGCTGGAGCGGGTGGGCTCGCAGGTCGGAGGATCGCGCCGGATCGCTGGTGCATCGGTGATGCAGTGCGGTCTGGCGCCCGACTTTGTCCGCTGCCGATTGTGCCGCCGTGTCGTGTCAGATCGCGTCGTAGCGTGATGGATGCAGTGGCTGATTGAGTCGGGTCATATGAGTATTCCTCTTTTCGGGCTGTTTCTGACTTCTCTGCAGGATCGCATCGTGGTACTCGAGAGGAGGGATGTGATGAGGATTAGGAAGACGATGCTTGAGAGACTGCGTAGTTGCTACAAGATGCTCCAATCGCCTGCCAGGGCGCCTGGCTCCGTCCTTCTGCGCAGTCGTCCGCGGAAACGACTCTGCGTCGAAGCGAAGATTCGTCTTGTGTTCGCGCGCGTGATTCAGGAGGGGAAAAAACACACAGACACAATTAATCGGCGATTCCCAGGAAATATGGGAAAATATGGGAAGTGGGTTGGAAGACAGAAACCCAGAAAATATGTGGAAATATGGGGAATTATTTTATTTGTGTGTATTTATTTGTGTGTCCTGGGGCCCCTTCAGTGATGTCGACCCCGCGTCCCCTTGGCGCGAGCCCGATGGCGTCTCGTCGAGATCCAGGGCGAAAGGAGCGAGCCTCACAGCCCCGCGCGTGC